AGAAAGCAACTTTTGGTTCTTTTCTTTTTCAAAAATGCCCAGAAAAGGAACTAAATAAAGATACATTTCCTGTGTAAGAGGACTTAAATCTGTGTCCTTAAAAGCGACAATCTGAGAACATTTCAGGATACTCAGAGCTTCTTCTTTCTCATTCTCCTTTACCGCGCCCCCCCCCCTTTCCCTTTATTTATTTCCCTTTTGTCCTCCCTCCAAATTTTTTTTTGCAAAATGTACATGAACACCCCATAGCTTCCATAGCTTTTCTGTCCTGGAATCAACTCTGTCCAGACCCCAGCTTTGGATCTGTGAGTGACGCAAGAAGCTGTTTTTGGCTTCAGAAATGTTTTCCTCTATGCTCTGACTCGTCTCTTGTTGTTCTTCTTTTCTCTCCATCTTTTCTCCACTTCTCTTCCCCAGACACCCCCACTGTTTCTCTCTTCCTGTTTTCTTAGTTTCTTCCCTTCTCCTTGGTGGCCAAAGCACCCATCAATCACAGCCACTGTCACAATCACAGCTCTGTCTGTAGCTCCTCTATCTCCATGATAAAACAAGATAGGAGTAAGCAGTCCTTCCAAAAGACAGACAGTCTCCACAGTAGCCTGTGGGAGGCTCCCTGGTGCAGTCAGCTCTGCCAATAAGAGCTTTTCCTTGCAGCTGCAGCCTTGGGAGACTGAACCAACAGCTAGCTGCACAAGTTTGCCGGTGACACACTTAAGTTGTTTTGCTTTACAAAAACATGGGAAAATTCTGATAAACTCCAGATGATTTCAAAACACATTTGAGGGTCAGATGTACAAAAGGCAGATAAAATCTGAATTAGGTAAGTCCAAGCTGATGCACAAATCTCTACTTAGGCCCAAACATCTTGCAAGATTGGAAGACTTTAAATTTGACAATTCCCAGTTAGGGATGATAAAAATTGAACTTTGCTCTCCTTAAACCCCAAGCCATTATGAGAAGAGAGGGTTCACTCAAAGTTAAAGTTGAATGACTAGTAAAGAGCTCAGGGAAGCTTTTTAATGAATAGCATTGGAAAGGTTTTTCATCCATTTAAGAAACTGGAATATTTGGAAAGGCAGAACCATATCTTTGTGTCTGCATAAGTGGTATATCTGCACAGTATAACCTAACACACCTGTTCCGTCATTCCTCCCGTAGGAAGATCATTTCTGTCCGATGCTGAAGAAGGGCAGAGCAGCTTTTGCCTTACACTGTGACCTACATTCATCAGTACTCTCAAGGATTATTGAGCCAGCATGGCTGTATGTCTGAGTAAAAGTTAGACCATTCATTTTATGCAGTTAATAAAGCTAACTCTTTTTCCCCCCCCTTTTGTTCTCCCCCCTTTAATTTGAAGTTTTTAACCCTAAAGAAAAGCTGAAAGAAAGCATAGAGAACACTAACTTATCTTGTTTTGCGAATAGGACTTTCTCTTATGGAACTCTAATGCCATTCATATTCCCAAGATACTTAACATCGATACACTAGTGTTACCTAAGATAAACGCCATATATGAATTTCCAGTTGTCCCCGTAATCTTTTTATTATCTTTCATGACATGGACAGTTTTGAGGAGTCCAATTTAGTGCTTTGTAAAATGTCCCTGTGATCTGAATTTGCCTGCTTGCTTGTGATTGGATTCAGGATAAACATTTTGGCCAAAAACACCACACAGGTGATGGTGTGTACTTCCATTACTTCATATACCAGGATAAACTGACATCATGAGTGGTGATGTCAGTTTGTCCTAGTATTGGTGATATAAAGTTTCATCACTTGGTTCAGGTGGGAATTGCCATATTTTCTATTGTAAAGGCATCCTTTTCCACCGTGCTTGAATCAGTTACTGCACTGGGGTTAGCAGAGTGTTAATTTTCTAATTTTTTCATTCTTTTTGTATGTATCATATAGAACCTTCAGTATCAAACCCAGGTCTTTCTGATGCCAAAGCTCATGCTCTTTCTGCAACAGGCGTAGCTACCTCTCTGATGTGTAAACAAGTAAAGCTAGCCACCTGAAGCTTCTGGGAAAATAAAGCATCTTAATTTTATCCCTTGTTTAGAGCTTTATTTTCTTTTATTGTGGCAAAAAAAAATGGACTTTTTGTGTAGTTTTGAAATCTACTTTTTAAAAGTACCCACACAGAGCTGTTGCGGGGCTCACATGCGAAGGAATGTGCCTCAAGAGGCAGAGAATGTCCAAATCAGCTTCTCTCCCCCAGCGTCACTGACGTTATCCCACCTCTTTGGGGGTCCAGGTTACATTTTTTAGAGGGGGTAGAGGGGTGAGTGAGTGCTAGAATCAAAATGTCAGTTGGTTTGAGGGTTTTTGTTTTGTTTTGTTTTGGCAAAGCTAGATTAAAGACTTTGGTGGAACTTCTACCGTTCTCCCCTGAGCTGAGATTGTGGGATCTCCCTGGAGAAGGAAGAAGGTAGGGTCTGCAAAGTAGTCTGCAAAGACCTTGACTCCCCTGGGATTACAGACCAGCCGTCCAGGAAATTAGTGCCAAATGGGAGGGAAGGGCCCTGAAAGGCACCGGGTGTTGGGGGGAAGAGGGCTGTGAACCTTGCTCGCTGCTGGACGCTGGGAACAGAGAGGTGTGAGAGGAAGCCCCGGCCAGGAGAAGAATTTTCTCTTCTTTCCCAGTGGCTGCCTTCCCTGAAACTTTCCTTCCTTTAAGGAAATTTGTATGAAAAGATTCCTGCAGAAAGGTGCAGCTGGGAAGACACACAGAAAGCAATCTCTAGTTCTACCTGTCCCTTCTCTTTGTCATATTAAGTGGCAACAGCTCTTCTAATCACTAATGAATTCAGGTTACAAGTCATACTGGCAGTGTCAGGGTTAGCCTGCCAGTGTTAAAAACACTAAAACGCACCCCCAAATTAAAATAAAAAATATTCTCTTTGTTTGCCATCTCTGTACTGTTTAACATGAGTATTTCAACAGGCTTTATTTTCCAAACATGCAAACAGAGAGTGATCTGACCCACAGTATATTGACATACCATGTAGCTATAACCTTGAGATAAAAGTAAAGGAAAAGTCAAAACAGCTCAAACCAAACACTAACACAAATTAGCCTTTCTTCAGTCTGGACCCCGTCCCTCTGTAACAAGGGGACACACTAGCATTAACTCACACTGGCAATGGTGGACACACAAAGATAGATCCATACTTGGCAGACCCCGGGGCTCAAAATATATAGCTGGAAAGCCTTATGCCTTAAGTAACTAATTCAACAAATGTATACTACTCTGGGCTAGACACCCAATTCTAGGTGTTGGAAATGTCTTATACGTGTAGGGGATGGACGTATAAGGCTTGGAAGGCCTCTGCCCTTGTGGAACTTACCTAGTGGCATTAGGAAAAATATCAGACAATACCTCCCCACGGTGTTGAGAGAAGATGAAAAATAACAGCTATAGCAGAAAACCTGAGCTGGTTTCTTAGATTCTGTATATCCAGGAATGCAACTGCTTCAAAATCTGGGTCACACTGTAGGATGGCTATGAAAGACACAAGGACAAAGAGAAACAAGCAGAGAATCAGAAAGAAGCTTCTCTCCTCATCACACATGGAAGGATCCTTTGGGAGCTTTTGTCAAATTGATCAGGAAGAGTCAAACCTAATGTTCATAAGATGATGGGATAAAAGCAACAATAACGACTGTGCCCCTGTGTCACGCTGAAACAACGCCAAAGATGAAATGTCCCAATATAAGAACAGGTAACTAACTAACTAGCATCTTTGCTAGGTGGAGCTCAATGCTGAGGAATTTACTTGTATTGTCTCATGTAATCCTCTCAGTCACAACCTGGTAAGAAACACTCTATAATTTTATTCCCATTTCCCATGTGAAGAAACAAACCTAGAAAGTGAAATAACTTGATTTGGTCCAAGGACACATATATGATAGATAGTGAAACAAGAACAGGTTTCCAGCTGTGTTTGATACCAAAATCTGTGTTCTAAACATAGATTTCCATCCATAAAATTATTTTTCATCATTTTATATATGGAAAAAGATATTAACATTGAATAGGAAAATTATTTGGATAGCTTCAGAAAGTAGTCTGTGTATTCAAGATATTATCTTGGAAGAGACAGTCAACCATGTCCTATCAGTCAAAAGCAAATATGCACCACTTTCTCAAATGCATGAGAGATTTAGAGATGATTTTGCAATTGCTTAAATGTACTTAAGACCTCTAAAATTTGAATCAAAATTCAAGAATAAATGGAGATCAGTATTTTATTCAACTAATAAATTATCCCTCCAAGTTTGTTTAACAACTGCACACATTTCTATCTTTGCACTTTAATTGATAATTGAATTATGAATAAAATAACTAAGGTGAAGCTGATTTAGTGAAAATAAGGCAAAACTCCATAATAAAGCTTATGCTTATTTGGGGATAAGTTTATATCAAAAATCTTTATTAAAAAGTCAAAATTAATTGTAGTAGAATTAAGCTTTGAAGGTCTTACTTTTTGCTTTAAATCATTTAAATTAAATGTAATGAAAAGTGATTAGAGTGCTTATTTTTCTTTGTTTTGTGGGAAATTGTGCTGGGAATGTGGATCTATTGTGCACAAAGGATGTTGGCTTGATGCTGGAACCACCAAGCAGGTTGAGGAGAGAAACAATTAGCTCAGTCAGCAAGCCTTTGAATCTGATTAAGCCAGGAAGTGGTCACTCCCCACAACAGGGCAGAATGAAGGGAATGAAAGCTGTAATCCAAAACGAGGCATGATTTCTCTCTCTCTCTCTCTCTCTCTCTCTCTCTCTCTCTCTCTTTCTCGAATTTATTTTGTCAAATCTATGTCAAGGATTATTGCATTACACATTATTTTCGTAGGTCAAACAAATTAGAATCTTGTTTCCAAGTAGATCAACAGTCCACATGTGTCATGGCTACTGTCTCTAAGAAACTTCTGTTTGTTGAGGCCTGACATACCCTCATGTTTTGGTAACAGAACATCTTTGAGACCAAGGAAGGACCCAAGCCCCAGAGGAAAATGCAGGGCCTGTACCAGGCTGCTGGCTGGGTTCTCATTACGCTGGGGGCTCTCAGTGTTTTCTCTGGAGTGATTGCTTTCTTCCCAGTCTTTTCTTACAAGCTTTGGTTCACGGGATGGAGTGTCTGGATTGCTTGTCCCATCTGGAATGGAGCTTTGGTAGGAAAATATTTTATTACATTTGTTGAGAGAATACAGAAAAGAGGGTGAGAAAGTAAAACAGAATAACATAGCCTTTTGAAGTTTTCCAACAATATGAGAAAGTCAAAATTCTACAGAAAATCATGATTTACCTAGTACATTGGTTTCTATTAGTTGTGGTTTAAATATAGGATTTTTCTTAAAATCGTTTTATCACATGTACTATATGTTATGTATGTTATAAGGAAATGCTATTCAAGAAATTCTTTAAAAGTTACTTTATTTCAATCTTGTCATCTGGATATTCTGAGAAATTAGAATCTCTTGAAATTTGAATTTAGAAAAAAATATCAACCATCAAAAATAATTTAAAAATGGAAGACAAAGTAAAATAACTTTCAGGCTAACGCTTTCACTGGAAATGCTGACGTGTTCTACACGACCCAGATTTGCAAGCTCCAAATCATAGTTCTCCCTCTTTTTTCTTTACACGCAACTGTTTGACCTGAAAATAATTCAAGAAGCTGGGTGATAGACTTCACTAACTTCCCAGTTCCTTAGGAAAGTGTTCATGTGCCAAATACAAGTCAGCATCAAGTACTGTGTCTCCCCAAAAATAAGACCTAGCCAGAGAAGAAGCCCTAGCATGATTCCTCTGGAATATGGAGGGCATGCACCCCTCACATGAGAGTTTTATGACCTGTTTCAGGAAGAAGGGTGCCTTTTCCACAAACTCCTTCAGCTTAAAATATTCAGTATGCCAAGGTGCTATATTTTGGCACTTAAAATAATGTGAGGGCTTATTTTCCGGCTAGGTCTTATTTGGGGGGAAACAGGGTAGGTGCTTGATGTCTACTCATTGACCCATTGCACAGGTGAAGGTTCCGACTGGTACCTCAGCTCCATGGATCAAGAAAGTGAGCACATCTAGCCCTATGACTAAGTGACTTCGGGGTGGTATGACTTAAGAGGAGTTACAGAGGCCCACAGACGCAATAAATCTTTCTGCCACTGTTTCCCGTTACCTGACATTCACCACCGAAGACTAGAGAATTCAATTTTGAAGACTTTTGATCTTAAGGAGTTTCCTATTAAAATATAACCACTCTTGGGAGGGGCAATACTTTAAGCCTTTTAAAAGATCAGATTTTAACTGGGATATTACCTAAGAGTGAGACCCAGAGAAACATAATTTTAACCTATTTATTTAATACATATATATTGATTGCCTACTACATGCTTGAGTTACAATGGAGAATAAAGCAAGTTCTCAATGTTAATAGACTTCATTCAGTTCAATGGGGTCTAAATGATGGTGTGCAGATTGGAGCAAGTTGGATGGTGGGATTGTAGATCTGAACGAGAGATGATTAGATGGTGTTTTTCTTTCTTCTTGTCTTTTTAAATACATTCTTTTATCTCTACCATCCAGTCTTGGCCATTTGCTCTTTTCCCCAACACCTATTCTAGACCATATATTTGTTCATTCGGAGAAAATTAACATCTACCAGAATGCAAAGAAGGCAGTTACATTTAGTCAAGCAGCTTCCAAACCTGTTGGTGACCCAGAGTAAGAAACATTTTACATCTGGAATGTATATAATTACATCCGTATATTTTTCTCTAGGTAAATAGATAGATATTGATATATACAAATAACTAGATGTGTATAACAAAAGTTTCACAAAACCACACCTTTCTGCATGAAATGAACACTAATATTTTCTATTCTATTTAATTTTTTAAAAATTCTGACTTCAAAATTGATCCAAAGTTTAACAAAACCATGATTATCACCCAACCCTGTGTCCCTTTATTATAATTTTTTTGCCTGTCCCCGCAAAGTTTATCATAAAGGTCAACAAATATTGGTAATTGGATTAGCTTCACAAATTATCGAATATATGCTTGTAACAGGACAAACATCTCTTTTCCAATTAGATCCAGAGAATTAATATGATACGTCCACAGCATGTAGCCAGTTGGTGGCTATTTTATTTTGAGAGTGACAATGTAGGGAAGTGGAGTCAGAGAGGTAGGACTTTGGGAGGTGGGGCCTCTGTTTAGATCCTGACTTTGATGTTCTTGGTATGTTGTCAGGAGCCGGACCCCCATTTAGCCAGCTCCCCATTGCTTTGCCTGTAAAATGGGGGATTTTACAGGTAAAGAGAGCCCATGTGAAGCTGTCTAACCCTAAGATGCTCAGAGAGAATGAAAACTATTTGAACAAAGATTGTGTAATAAAGAGCTTTGCTGATTTTAAAGCCCTATACAAAGGCTGGCCAAGTGGCACGTTGGTTAAGAGCTGGCTTGGGATGCCAGCTCTGAGCAGCAGGGCCCCGGTTCAGATCCCACATGAGGGCGTGACACTGTGCCCTCTACAGCTAAGATGGTGAACAACAGTCGACCTGGAGTTGGGCTGCTGTGAGTCGCCAGCAATGGTGTAGGCTGCAGCCCCTGCTGCAGTGGGCTGCCGTGAGCTACCGTGAGCGGCCGTCCAATGGCCAGAGAGTGACTGCCTCGCCCGGAAAGAGTGCAATGATAATACCAACATGGGCCAGTGAAGTGATGTCCTCCACAACTAGACTGAAGAATGAAAGGACAGCAACTTGTCTTCCCCAACTCCCCAACTTCCCCGACTCCCCAATGCTGTTCCTTTCCCCCAATTCCCCAATAAAATCTAAAAAAAGAAAAAAGCCCTATACAAAGCCCTAGTTAATACCAAGCCTTTCATTGACACCTCTGTCTGTCCAAACCCCTTGTTCCTAATCCCTTCACACCTGACTCACTCTCCCATTCCATTCCCTAATGTCTTGCTGAGTTCCCCATCCCATTACCTCCTGGATTTCATCTCCTACAACTCTTCCTTAATTCATTTCTTTCCCATCACACTGGCTCCTTGTTATTTTCAAATATGCCAAGATGTGTTTCTGCCTCAGGGCTTTTGCACTGTCTGTTCTCTGCCTGAAGCCTCTTCACATACACACAACACATACACAGACACACACACACACGTGCACGCACTCATTCTCTAACCTCTTTAATCCTTTGAACAAATGTCATTTTCTCACTGATGCCTTCCCTTGTTATCTTATTTAAAATTGCAAACCTCCCCTACAATTGTCATTCCCAATCTCTCATACCCTGCTCTGCTTTTTTCCCATAGCACTTATCACCATCCAATATACTATGTAATTTACTTATTTATTGTTTGTTTGTTTTCCCCTCCAATGTATATTGTACAAGGGCAGGGATTGTTCCTATTTTGTTTACTGCTATATTTCCAGCACTTTGGAACAGAGTGTCTCTCATACTAGGTGTTCAATGACTATCATGCGATAAACATCATTGAATAAGCGAATAAAGCTCACGCCTCCCATGCTGGTGGCACAGAATTCCTTATGTAGTTGAACTCTGATTAGGTTGCCAAGACTAAAGGTCAAGCTGGTATTTATACTAAAACAGGAAAAAAATCCTCATGAGAAGGAAAGCAATAAGAACGTTCGCTCTTTCAGTAACATTTAAATTTGAAATGCGGTTTTTGGGTTTTTTTTCTAGTGAGTTTCCTAGTGAACCACAGCCCTGTCTGATCAGGGTCAACTTCAAAAGGCCTCTGACTCATTTCACAACCTTCCTTGCCAGTCATTTCTCAACTTGCCTGCAAAGTGTATCTTCCTCTAGTGGAAAGATAATTTGTAGACTTCAATCATATTGACATTGCCTTGTGCAAATGACTCCATATCTCTTTGGAGACTTGTAAGATATAGATTTTCACAAGTGGCACAGTGCTGTGTATTTGCTCAGTGCCTTTTCATTCAAGGCTTTCTAAATTCTTCACAAATATTGATCCTCCTAGTTTTGTTCTGCCAACCACATGATAAGCACTTTTCCTAGAATTTCTGAACTAGTTATTTAAAGGCATCAGCTGCTAGAAAGTATGCAGCAGAGAGATTATAGCGCCTTAAGGACTGAGCTCTACTTTAATCCTGGAAAACTTGACTTGTAGATCAAGCTCTGATGAAGTACAGTGAATTTCACAAGATCTGCAGTCTGGAGGGGCCAGCAACTTGACCAATGGTGAGCAAAAGTGCTGCGCCTAGAGCCTTGCTTAGAGGAGGGAAGTTGGCTGAAAGGTAGGGCTAGACCTACCCATGCAGCCTCAGGTTTCTCCTCTGTTAGAGAAGGGACTTGATTTCACCATTGCTTAAGCCTCTTACAGCTTCAACAGTCCTATGATTTCCAACCACCTGATGTTTGATTTTCTACTTAGATATCCTAAGATTCTATAAGCTCAGCTTGTCAAAAAACTCATCATCATCATCATCATCATCATCATCATCATCATCTTACCACCAAAAGCAACAATGTATTCTCCTGACTTCCTTGTCTTTGAACCCAATTTCAAACCTTAGGGTGATGTTTGACTTTAATCCTTTTGTTTTAGCTAGTGCTCCTCAAACTGTAATGTGCATATGAATCACCTGGGGATCTTGTTAAAATGAAGACTCTCAGTTCAGCAAATCTGGGTTGCTGCATGCCTGACAAGTTCCCAGCGGCGCCAGTGCTGCTGGTCCTAGGATTGTACTTTGAGCTGCACGGCCCTAAACCAGCCCGCCCTCAGCACCACTCCCACCCCACCACAGCCAACTGTTACCGAAGCCCAACAATTAAGTTCTTTCTGCCTGAGCGCTCTGGCCAAAAAAAAATGCATGTGCAGGGGTTTGCAGTAAAGAAGGGAATTAATTTATTAGACTTGGCCACTCCAGAGATGGGTGAGCTTGCATCCTGAAAGACCCAACTCTCTGATGGAATGTAGGTTCCAAATATATAGAGCAAAATCACAAGATACCATGGGGTAGGAGTTCAGGGTTGTGTTAGGAGCTGGTGGGTCAGAGGTGATACAAGGGCAATAAATCATTTCTTCAGGTCTCTTTTTTTCTATTACAGTTGACATTCAATATTACTTTATATTAGCTTCAGGTGTACAATATAGTGGTTAGATATTTATATAATTTACAAAGTGATCCCCGATTAATCTAGTACCCACCTGGCATCATACATAGTTATTACAATATCATCAGCTATATTCACTATGCTGTACTTTACATCCCCATGACTATTATGTAACTACCAATTTGTACTTCTTCACCCTTTCACATTTTTCACCGAGCCCCTCAAACCGCCTCCCCTCTGGCAACCATCAGTTTGTTCTCTGTATCTGAGTCTATTTCTGTTTTGTTTGTTCATTTATATTGTTTCAATTCCACATCATTTCTTCAGGTCTTGAGGTCAGCTCTGGAGTCCAGAACTGGTTTCAAGAAGAGCTAGACAAAGGGTCCCATTTTAAGGCCCAGGAGCTGAAAGACAACTTAGATTAAGATGTTATCTTTAGGCGCCCAGGGGCTTAAGCCTTGTGACCTTTAGTCAGAACCAGGCTATTGTCTTCTGCCACCTCAGGGGTCAATGATCATCAGGGTAACAGACTAAAATTAGGTCAGCATGCTGAGAGAAGGAGGGGGGGAAAATGATTGTTTTAAAACTACAGTTTAAATCAAATCAGAATTATGAGGACCCTTGGTTTCACAATCAGTTGCCAAGCAAATTTTATTTTTCCTACGAGGCATATCCCTATGCTTTCCCTTCTCTTGTTCTCATTGTGCACACCCCCCTCCCCCCAACTCCTTACCTCTTCCCATCCCTGCCCAGGTTTTAGGCCTAGATAGCTTTCATAGACCAACTGTGGGAATCTCTCCATTAGTGGGTCATAAAATCAATCTATTGGGTAGCTAGCAGCATTTATACAACATGAATCATATCAGAATAGAATAGAATAGAATAGAATAGAATAGAAGAGATTAGAGTGTCTCATACATAATAAGGGTAATATTATTATTTTGTTTAGATATAAAAATATTTATAACTTGATCATGATACAAACTATATTTCTTATTGTGGGTAGAGGTTAAAAAAAGTGTCTGAAGACCAAGATCCCACAGAGACCTCTAGGCCTCACTGCATTCCAGTCCAGCACGAATGCAACAACGGGCTCATCTTTCTAAAGCTCTGCCATGTCAGTCTAACCACAAAAACCTTCAGTGTTGCTTCATTGTCCGAAGTCCAGATATGTTAGCTTGGATTTTGAGGCCCTCTTCAACCTGGTCTCACATGGCTTTCAAGCCTGATTTCCTCCTCTTCTTCTCCAAGAACCTACCCTGGGCTGGTCTCTCCCTGTTTCCCAAGCATGACTGCCATTTTCCTGCCTTTGCACATGCTGCTCTGCTGCCCGGACTGCCTTTCCCTCAGCCATCTCCCACTGAAGCCACATCTATGCTTCAAACCCGCTTCAGGTCCGCTTTCCTCCGTGGTGCCGTCATCAGTGATTGTTCCCCCTGGAAATGACACCTTGTCCCTGAGCTCTTCTCATACAGAAAGCACTCACTGTTCTTGCCTAATGCTAGGGACATTCTTATATATGCATGACTTTCTCATCTGGACTGTAAATTCCATTGAGAGTTGGAACGGTTACTTGTATAATTATTATTTGGTGAGCTTGGTCATCTTATTTAGCCTCGCTGTGCCTCATTTTTAAAAGCAGAAGATCTACATCTTAGGGTCCTAATGAGTGAACATGGGTAAAGTGTTCAGGATAGTGCCTGGCATAGAGGAAGCGCTCAATAAAGGTTAATTGTTATTGTCATTATTCTATCCGCACAATGCCTATCACATCCCTTGTTCATAGTAGGGCCATGCGAGATGTTTGTAAGTGAATAAATTAGCCCATATTAAAATGATTCCTCTAAACGTTTCTATTTCTGTTGTGACTACTCCCTGCTTCCTTCAATTCATCTGCTTCTGGGAACTGCATCCTTTACTTGAGCAATTTAAAGATTTAGGGGGAGGGCTCACAATTATCATGCAATCAGAGAGTTTGCAGCAACTGTTGCAAAAGCCAAGTACTGTCCCCGGAGCTGCCCATAGAGCCAGTCAACAGCAAGAGCTGAGGAAGGGGAGCGCAGAACTGGGCCTCCGGTCTCCACACTCACACCCTCCCCAGGCACACACCCCTCTCTGTTCTTCTTCCCAGCCTGACTGCCCTGCTCTGCCCAACTTTGTACCTCTCAGTCACTCCGTCCCTCTATTTCCTTTTCCCGCTTGACCTTTTTCTTCCCTGCCCTCAAATCTCTTCCTTTTTTATTCTTTCCCCCTCTCTATCTAAAAACAAAATTTTAACACAGAAGAAAAAGGCTGTGACTCCTGGGGGAACACCTCCCACTTTATGTCCCAGGCACAGCAAGGGGGCACCAGTAAAGATGGCCGTGCTGGACTCCTTAGCCACCTTCCTGCAGGGTGGATTTAACAAGTTACTGGCATTCATATGCCCGCCTGCTCCATGAAAGATCTTTTTCAAAGTTTTGTGTAAACAAAGCAAAATTCAAGCTGGCAGCTTCAACAGAAATAACAGGCAACCGCAATTCTGCAGCATTTTTCAACGTTTGAAAGGAAAGAAACAGTTCATGCCAAAGTAGTTACTGCGACCTGGAATCTAAGCATCTGATAATGTCCACTTAGATATCTCCTTGGAGTTACACCAGCAGAGGGGCATCTCCTGTGCCTTTATCTCCTTTGCTTCTCCTTTGCTTCAGTGTTTCTCTCTCCTACAGGAGTGACGTGTCATTTGAGCGCATTGCCTCTGAAAGCATAGGCTGGCCTCAGGCTTAGTCAGCAGTGTTACAGTTACTGTTAATAATTCTCCTGTTTTGTTGTACTATTTATGCTGGCTCGACCTCCATAGGGTCCCTTGGAAACTTTTCTCTTGCAGAATCAAGCCAACCTCTTGACTACAGATGGTTCTGTTTTTATCCATGGGAGTTTTATGGTATGGCGATGCCAAGTCTGGAATTTCAGGCTTAGCTACATGAAAAGTTTTGTAGGAGAGTGTGTGTGTGTGTGTGTGTGTGTGTGTGTGTGTGTGTGTGTGTGTCTGCGCACGCGTGCGTGCTTTTTCCTCTCTCTCACAAATTCTCTAAATCCAACATTCAAAATAAAATGTGCTAGAAAAATGAAAATCTAGGTCTCCAAACAATAAATATGCCAGACCCAAAGCTACAAAAGCAGCATATCACCAAGCCACATTGGTAAAAGCTCTGATTTTTCCCCCCTTAAGTTTGTTGATTCCACACATACAATAAATGTTTATTTCTCTGTCAGAAACCTAAACGGTACTACTATCTTTAGTCCTGCCCTCATTCTATATCTTATTTCAGGCACGTCTTTTACTGGTTTTCTCTCTCAATCTCAAAACATTTCTTGACTATGAACAAATGACTTATGGGTTGAGAATAAGTGATTCCCAGGCTCAATAACCACACTCCTTTATCAGACCTGGTTCTGAATCAAAGATGAGCCCAGAATTTTTTTTTTTCATTATCTATTGCTTAATTCTGGTGACACCATTTCCTCCTTTGTTCAACTATTTTTATTCTACACTTTGGGCCTTTTTCCTTCAATGGAGACTCTAAAGAACTCTGTTTTCAAAAGCTGGACACCACTGCACCCAGAACAATAAACTCCCCATGATGCATTCATTCTAATGATAATCTTTGTTACTTGAGAAACAGGGATCACTTATTTGTATCCCACCAGCAGGCTTTTCAAGAGAAAGCAAATAGTAAAAGATAGTGCTGCTGCTGGGAGGGTTTTCAGGGTTCTGTGACACATTTCCACTCCAGTTCCTCCCATTTGCAATTTCAGCAATTTGTAAGAAAGATGAACAATAGACACTTAATCAAAATAAAACATATGGCAAGGGTTATAAAGCCAAGCCTTTACCACAGTGACACCTTACTGTAGCGAAGGTTACAATTGTGATGACAAAGACAACACTAAAATAAAAAAAGAAGGTTGTATACATCATGTTTTTATGACACCGATGGCTTCTTTTCCTCATTGTCATCATGGATGAGGAGGAGATCAGAGCCATAAATCTATTTAGTCATTTGCTGTTCCCTCTAGTTCATGATAAAGTTGTCAAACTGTGAGACAGATTGAACTCTTTCCAGAGCTCTATTCTATCTTGGATGTTATTTTTCCATTTTCCTTTCACAGGCCATCACAGCTGGTGTACTCCTGCTGGTGGCTCACAAAGACTGGAACCAGAGATACTTGGTAAATATGTAGACGTTGTCCACGAAAGAAGCATCCAAACCTATAAAGAATTTTGATAAGATTTTGTGTGAGCCAAAACTGATGACAATTGCTGAGAAACAAGATCTCAAATGCTGCAGAGCAACAGTTTTGCAGCTTCTGTAGTGCATTTGAAATTAAGGCGGGAACATAAGGAAGATTATGTGAAGGTGGGAGAAAGCAAGGCAGAGGTTGGATTACAGGATAGTTAAGATTATTTGTTCTCTTGGGGATGGTTACCATTTAGAAGGAGGGGTCTGAAAAGAGGCATTTCAAAGGTGTGTTAACCTAGATGCATAAGAACAATGGATGGGGCTTGCTTAAGGCAAAGATAAGCCTTTTTCTAAAGAAGTTAGATGCTTGGGTGGGACTACTAGCCTGCCCAGTTAGGAATTTATGATCAGATCACCCTGGGAGGATTATTCTCCATCACTGGACTTGTCACTTTTATTAGATAACTTCCCCTCCCATTTTTTTTTTGGTTGTTGTTCACAACAAAGAGGGGAATGGTAGAGTGGGTTTGCAGATCAAATCTCTACTAGCTCAGAATGGAACATAGAGAATGCGATTTCCAATTATAATTGGATTCTGTCTAATTGATATCTTACTATGATAGATTTCAGTAATAAACTGTTTTCAATGAAAATATTTTATTTGATTCCTGTTGCAAACATTTTCTACAAGTTCCTGTAATTATTGTAAGTCATTTGTGTGTGGGGGGGGGAGAGGAAGGAACAGAGCCAGTGTTAGTGTGCCTGGATTTCATCTTGAAAAAATGGATCTATAGGCTCCTCTGCTTTTAATAACGCACCTTCAGTCTCAGTTTCCTCAATTTGGAATCTCCTTCCAATGTTAGCTCTTCCCTTAAAAAATGAAAAGTTATGATGTCTTGAATATCAATGGTACAGAGCTAAATAACCCCACAATATAGAAAGACTACCTTGATTTGATCATAGATCTTTCTCCCATGGCTATAGCAGGGCTTCTCAAACTCTAAAGTAGGAGCGAATTGCCTGGGGATCTGGTTAAAATGCAGATTCTGATTCAGTAGATCTGGAGGAGGCCTGAGTTTCTACATTTCTAACAATGTCCCAGGGATGTCAGTGGACCATAGACTCTACCCTGATGAGCAAGGTCCTAGGATAAGGCTGGGATTCTGTCTACTCACCTGTTTTCCCATCCCAGGCTGCTCCCAACACATGATAGGAGATGAATAAATATTTGTTGAATGGAATTGATTTCATTTTTGCCCCAATTGGCTGATGTTGTTCTCCCACAGTGTAGATTGGAGAGGAGGACACAGGCATCTATGGGAAAAATTGTAACCCATTTTCCCTTCATTCCCCAGTCGGAGAGATTAATACCTGGCATCTCTTTCCTTCTTCATAGTGCTAGAAGCTTTTGAAAAATGTAGGTCCCAAAGTAACCATGTGTTTCTGCTTTATTTGCAGTGGGAAGCTAGTTTCACCTTTGTGATTCTGAACCTTATGGGAAGCCCACTTCATTTTGCGGTAGCCTTGGAATCGGCTCTCCTCGGCCCATATTGCTTCTATTCATTTTCAGGGGTGGCAGGCACCAGTTACCTTGGTTATGCAGTTGCCTTTCCTTTTCCATATGCAAAATTCCCATCAGTTTGTGTGGACCCACCACACTATGAAGAGTACCACCTGACACTTCAAGCCTTTGATCTGGGCTTGAGCTTTGCTATGCTCTGTGCATCCCTGACAGTGTTCCTCAAGCTTTGTATAAGGCTTGTCTGCAATGGACACATAAATGTAAGTTTCAAGAAAGGGGTAACCAGCTCTTGTTCCATCCTGAATTCTAAAATGAAAAGTCTGCTGTATTAATATTTAATCAGGCTCTCTTATCTACCACTGTAGCCTATATAACCATGCTAGTCAGTGCCTGGCACATAATAGGTGTTCAATCATTGTTTTTGTATGAATGAATGAAAAGATGTTGATGTGATAACTGAACGTATAGCAGCAGGTAGCACTAGCTAACTTTGATCTTAACCAACAATTTAAAAAATGACTAATAGAGACAAATACAAAGAGCTTTTTGTGGGAATTGAAAGCATCACCCTTAGTATTTTTAATATTAGTCAAATGCAGATGCCTTAATTTAGCTTCTATCTGATTCAGAAAGGTACACATGCTCCTTGGCTAAAAAAGACATACATAAAATTCTCCCATTCTGCCTTTATTCCAGCAGAGAGGCTGAGGTAGGCTAACATTAAAATTTAGTTTCCTAACTTTTTCCAGGAGAGTTAATAATATTAATGATATGATAATAATAGAAATACAAACTGAATGTTCACTATGTGTCAGTGTACTTATCATTTTACAGACAGTAAACTAAGGCTAAAGAGTTTATATAACTTGCCCAAGATTACACCGCTAATGAGTAGTAGGTCCGGATTCAGAGCCGGGGCCATTCCTTTTAACCAGACCAGATTTATTCTGGGTCTCCTTATCACTCACCTTGCAACCTCTCCTCCTTGACTAGACCATTACTATGCATGGCTCTGGCCTCCAGGAGGATTAGAGCTGGGTCACTGGGAAAAGAGCACTAGTGGTTTCTTATTCTAAATCCTACAAGTATTATGTCTGGGTCACTGCGTTGTGGGTTGAACAGCTTCCCTCTGGAAAGAGATATTTCCCTCTGCAAACTCTCATGCTGGCTTTATGATTCAAGTCAGTGTTATATTAGGGTCATGTTAGCCAATTTTTGTGGTGATGTTAGCCAATTTTTTTCCAGTTTGATCCTATCAACACCAACCAGCAAAGCTGGAAGACAAGAATGGCACTTTCAATGCCTTCTGTGGTCCAGCTTGTGCTCTTGAACTTCTACATAAGTCTGCACAGGAAATCCTGGACATAACTAGGAACAGAGTTTATTTTCCAAGGAGAGTCACCAAGAGTTGAGCTGAGCAGACCAAAATTACCTCCTCCATTGTATTGCCAGGGCATCTAAGAGTTTAGTATTTGAGATTTCTCCCTTGTGGTGAACATCCCAAATTTCTAGAGCCCTTTGTTAAAAGGAACATATGCCCAGGGGAACCATACATTACACTTTTGGCAGCCATAACCCCTCTTGCATGGGTTATCAGACACCTGGCTGTCATCTTAGGCATGACACTCATAACATCTAGGTTTAACATAGGATAGAAGGCAGGGAGAAAAAAATATTAAAATATATGCAAAACTTAGTAAGCTAGCCTCATGGAGAGCTAAGAGTAAGGCCACCTAAAGTACCTGTGGACAGAGAAAATTAATTGAAAACAGAGCAAAGTTCTTCAACTTCAGAGTTTTGCCTCTGCTCATCTTGCTCAGAATACGGCTTTTGTTGTGTGATTTCTAAGCAAGGTACAGGATCCAACACAACTACAACATGTTTCTCAAAGTGGACCAAAGACATCAGAATCACCGAGGATTCTCATTAAACCGGATCCAGTCCAAGACCATTCCTACTATGTCAGAAACCCTGGGGTTGGAGGCAGGGAATGTGCTGGGGGAGACCAGCTCCCACAGGTCCAGGGGTTCCCTCAGGTGGAGGCGGAGTCAGGTGAAGAAAAAAGGAAAAACCGCTTGGAGACACAGGAGCGCTGTTTCAAGAAGAATTGTCACACTATATTTTACAACATGCCCCTTTTTTATACCTGACAGTTTAACCATTGTTCCATTAGTATCAGGGTTTTACTTCCTCATAATTCCTATGCTCCAGGGTACAGCTATACCTTTTCTATGCTAAAGACTAACTTATCTTAACTGAGTCCAAATCCCTCCACCTACAATGCCTAGGACCAAGGCCTGAGCCTCTACATAATCGCCTATAGGATGGTTACCATGACCACCCAACATTTATTCTAAAAATTATTGTCTAAGCAGGATCTTAAGATTTACAGGGTGTGTACTTTGACCTTTACTAAGAGACTAGTAGTGTGACTAAAATCGCCTTTAGTGTATAAAATAGAATTATGGTGATATATCTATCAAAAGGGGAATTTAAATTCTTTAAGATATAAAACAGTATGTTTCTCAGTCAGAGCTTCAGAATTTGTCACAATTGCACTGTGCTTGGCCATGTCAGACACTGAGGCGCAGCCGGCTCCCGGCAATGTGCATTGTTAATACAGGACTCAAGAGATTCTGATGAAAATTCTCTTCCTAGTGCAAGATGATCTTAGTGTCACTTCCGGACAGAATTTCAGTTTTCCCATTTGCATAGAAGGCAGCATTAGTATGGGTGAGAGTTCCAGGTAAATTTTATAAGCAGCATGTCTTTGGTGAGTGTTTTTGGATGACTTGACACTACTTAGTCCATAATGGTGACAGACTGTGTTTCATTACGGAGGATGAGTGGCTGACATAATGGGATATGATGTTCTGTATTAATAAATACACGGCTGCCCCACGCTCACAAGGAGCAAATGCAGCCTGAGCAAACCGTTGATACCATGGAGAAATCTCAGCTACACTAGGCACACTTTCCAGCAGTGAAGTAAGTGTATTATTTATTAAAATTCTAGAAAACACACATCTTTCTTAGAAAGAAAGGTGGATCATTTGTGGGGATACAGAATTCTACATGGCGATTCTACATTTAATGAATCTTCATGTAGTTACACTGTTAGATTCCCTGCATGCTAAAAGGGATAAGTAATATTTTAAATTTTTATTAAAAACTATAATAAATATTGTAAAATATGCTGCCGGTTCACACTTTTTAAATATAGAAATAGAACACTAAAAATGCTTTTAAAAGCTGCACTTTAAAGTATCTGCCTGAAAATTAAAATTCTCTCATGTAAATATAGTACATATCAGAAAATTCAAGAGCTATGACAATTTGTAAAATGAAAAAAGTGATGGTTTGAAGGAAAGTTTGGGAAAAATTGTAGTTGTACTTTATTTTATTGTAGAACAAGATTCTTTGGAGATCCATATGTAAGTCAATATTATGATGGAAAATATTTGCTTCTAAATTCTTTAAGTTCAAAAACATGTTTTCAGAAACAAATCAAGCACCCCCTTAGGAATCGTCACATTCATGATTTCTTTCTCATCCCTGTGCCTTTTGGTTTAATAGAATTGAAGTCACCTTGTGTCCTAGTCAGCTTGGGCCACTATAAAAAATATATCTTAAATGGCATGGCTTAACCAACACACATTTATCCTTACAGTTCTGAAGGCTGGAAGTCCAAGATCAAGGTGGTAGCATGGTTGATTTTGGGTGAGGCCTCTCTTCCTGGCTTGAGGATGGCTGCCTTCTCACTGTGTGCTCACATGGCCTTTCCTGTACCTGTTCTTGGAGAGAGGAAGTGCTCTCCTTGTAAGGGCACAAATCCCACCATGGGGGCTCCATCCTCATGACCTCATTCAAACTTTATTACCTGTCAAATGATTCACCTCCAAATATCATCACAGTGGGGATGATGGCTTCAACATATAGATTTAGGAGGGGGGATACAGTTGATAGCATCTTGTTGAAGGTCACACAGTGATGGTGTGTAAGCATGTAGCCTACTGGAACTCAACCAAAACCACCGTGTGAAATGCTTCAAAGAGTCACTAAGATGATTTTGGATGATTTTGATAAACACAAAGGCATTGTGTGAGTGCTACAAAGTAAATGTCTGTGTCCCCCCTCCCCCTCCCCTCCCTCTTCCCCTCCCCCTGAATCTTGTGGGAGCCCTAACCCCCACTGTGATGGTATTAGGAGGTAGGCCCTTTGGGAGTTAATGAGGTTTAGACGAGGTCATGAGGGTAGAGCCCCCGTGATGGGATTAGTGTCCTTATAAGACGATGAAGAGACCAGAGATCTCCCTTTGTCCACACATGAGGATACCACAAGAAGGTAGTCATTTGCAAATTAGGAAGAAGGCTCTCACCAGACACTGAATCTGCTGGCACCTTGATCTTGGGCTTCAAGCCTCCAGAACTGTGAGAAATGTGTGTTGTTTAAGCCACCTAGTCCATGGTAGTCTGTTATAGCAGCCAGAGCTGACTAAGACAGTGAGCCCTTCCAAATTTCAAGGGCCTCAAGGGAAGGGGTGGAGCTGGGAAAGGAATGAGCCCCTGCTTCAGTGGCTCCATGCACACAGGCTAAAGTTACCCTGTTGGATAAGGACACAGTGCAGCAGGCAAATGAGCACATCACAGAATTTAAGTCAAGCAACTAAAATGCAAAACAACCATAGCCAGAATTGTCTACATTCTTGGTTCAGTAAATAATAAAGTGATGGGAAATAAAAGAAGTGGGACACCAGACGCACTGCAGCTGTCCCCTGCAGCTACTCTGTCCCTCCTCCATGGAATGGAATGACTCCACTTGTTTTCCTTTCATTATTCATTATTATGTTTGGTTTGAGGGGTTTTCTTTAAATGAAAGGGGGAAAGAAAATATTTTCCCCCTTATCATGTGATACAGTGTTTTTATTTTTTTTCAACAAATTGAGAAATATTTACTTCCCATAAAAGATGTATTGGGTTGTCGGAAAAGTCATGATGCATTTTTGCAAAGAAAAACATAGAAAAAATACGTCATGACTTTTCCGACAACCCAACAGATAAACGCTTTAAATGCAGGTAAAAAAGATATGGGACAAAATATTTATCAATGGAGGACCCACTTCCTCGAAACTGAAGACAAATTAGAAAGCGGCAATACACTGACTCCAAATCTTCCAGGGGACCTATACTGTATCATTACCAATATAAATATGATTTGAAACAAATTTACCTGTGACTCTCATCCTCAAGGTCTGAGGCCTCATGTTGGGCTATTATAATATCTTTCTGGTGCTTCCCCTAGGTTTAAACTCAAGTAAAACTCAAGTAGGACCACGGAACAGTAAGAATCCATTGTATTTCTTCCTTATAAATTCCATTATGTGGTCTCTTCAAATTGGTCAGTAGAAAATTCAGAATCTAGAAACATAATCACAATTCAGGGCAGTATCATTCCTATTGTCTCATTATTTTCTCTGGAGTAATAATAGCAATGACATAAAACTGGATCACAGAAGAAGTTGTAGTGGCTATTTATTGGGCAGCTGCTATTTCTCAGGTGCTTTATCCCCTTTATTCCTAACAACACTCTGAATCTCATTATCCCCATTTCACAGTCGAGGACATTGAGATGACCATGTGGAGCCAGAATCCCATCCCAGGTCTCCTGGGGCCTGGAGCCCAGGCTCCTCATGGCTAGGCCACACCCTTTGGGTGGTATATCTGCAGTCTTATCTATTCCAAATGACTTTACATAGTCATGCTTTCAAATGGACAACCTTTCTAATGTTTCTCACAGACAAAAATTAACTCATATTTTAGAAATGGAAGCTATTTTCATTTTATTTAATCAGTGGGACCATGTCAAGGGTGATAGCAATTTAGTAAGAGAGGAGATGAGGTTAAAGTGTCTATTATAACGTATTAAAATAAGCTTGATATTTTGTAAAATAGGGGGCAATAAGTGGGAAGAAGTTAGAAACCTGAGAATGGCTTTTTGTCAATTTTTACTTTATAAATTATTGTCAACATATTTTCCTTTTGACAATGCAGTCAATTTAGTCTTTCTTTAATTTTTAAAAAAGATTTTATTGGGGAATTGTGGGATCCGAACCGGGGCCCTCTGCTCAGAGCTGGTGTACCAAGCCAACTCCTAACCAACGTCGGCCAGCCCTCAATTTAGTCTTTTAATATAAAATATCATAGTGGAGTTTTTTCCCCCTTGCTTCTTACTCTTAATCTAAAATGTTATCATTATTAATTTATTTTAAAACATATTTTAAATGTTATATTTAAAACAAATAACAAATATATTTAAAACAAGAATTTTTTATTTTATAAAAAGGAGGAAATTGGAGTAGAAATCAGAAGCCTCCTCTCTCTATAATCATATAACTGAGTTTATACTAGTGACTATTTCAGAGTGATTATAATGGTGCTAATATGTGAATACAAAACCATTCAGACATGTAACAATGTTGGCTGGTTACTTTAAATTTTATAATTAAAGAGGAGAATATTTGATGGCTAGTATTGGATGCCTGAATTCAGTCCCCATTGGAAAGAAGGGAGAGAAACAGAGGAAGTAATTAGGGTGAAAAACAATGGGGGTTGTGTGGAGTGGCGAATGAAACAAGGACACTTCCCCTCCCAGTCTGGCCCTGGGAGCCGGTGGGGACTGTGAGCAGGCAGCAGTTCACCTCTGCACATATCAGTACTCGTGGACTTGAGCCTCTGTATCTCTAGGGCCACAGGGCTTGGCCACCCAACCTTCTAAGACCTTTCCAGATCTCTCTGTCTGTGATTTTGAAATAAAACTTTATTTCATTTGAGAAGATTAGCATTCAGGCTGGCTCTTTACCTGTCCTATGACACACTGATGTGCTGCTGGGTACACAATGTGGCTTTACGATGCTAGCTCAAGAACTCATACATGCCAGCAGTATTTCCCATGACAGATGGTATGAGTTGTCACAGATTCACAGGTCACTTTAACCACTTTCGAAAAACACCTTTCTTTGCTCAATATTCAATCTGTCCTGTCAAACTAACCATAATTATCCTGTATTTTAAAAAACTCACCATTATATTAATAAATAAAATAAGAAACTTATAACTCCAGTTTATGTGTAAAAAGAGTATTTTAAAATGCTTTTCATCTCTTACATCACATAACTAACCCAGTGTCGTGGAGGAAAAGGAAAGCTGCTCATTAAAGCAGTAGAATTACTAGATGTTGGAAGTCAAATACCTATTTGACAAGAGAAGTATCTTCTGTTTACTAGTACTGTATATGACTTTTCTCTTGTGTGTAAAGGAATATGAACCCAAAGTCCTAAATACAATATTCATTCTTTAGGCTTCCTCCTCAACTTGTATGGAGCACATATTATGTGCCAAATATGCCAAAGGCTAAAGGGTAGAGACAGAAAGATGGACAAGACACATTTTGGTCCTCCATTGACTTACAGGGACAGAGGGGAAATGAGAGTTGAGCCAGGAGGATCAACAGCCCAGATAAAGAACAACAGAATCTGAATCAGGGAGTGATGGTGGGCATGGAGAAGAGGTGATACATGTGAGAGGTATTTAGGAGGTACAGACAACAGGACTTAAATAACATGTGTAACAAGGGAGAAGCCCAGGAAGATGCAAAGGGGTTTCTTGACCATGAGAGACAAGACAGTGACTGGGTTAAATGTGTGAGTTCTAATCTTGTCACTTAGGGTAAATATTCAATTTCACATTACGTCAATAATAAAAAACCATTGTAAGAACTTAGAAGAAATCAGAGGGCTTCTGTTTGAGATTCTAGCTAATGAGCTACTGGAGCTTGTTATTGGACACTCCATGGCTACACTAGTCAAAAATCAATACAAATGATGCCATGCTCTGAGTTCATAATACATCTAGTGCTAAAGGGCATGGGCTATAAGACAGTTTCAATCTAGGCCATATTTATGTAACAACTTTTCTTCTACTGAATCTCCCTTAGCATGTTACCCACAAATGACCTGTAGATAGCCAAGCCCAATGGACTCCTTTTCAATCCGCATCTCCTTTGACCTCTCCACAGGCTATGAAACTCTAGACCACTTTCTCCATGAAAACCTCTCCCCTTTGACTTCCATGCACCTTTCGCCTTGGTTCTCTTCCTTCTCCATGATTGTTTCTCCTCAGTTTCCTCTGCAGGCTCTTTTGCTCTGCTCACCCCTTAAAGGCTGTTGGTCTCAGTTACCACTTTGGGCTGATGCCTCACACATCCATATCTGCAGTCCAGTTTCCTCACCTGCTCTCATGAGCTCTACATCTGACTGTTTTTGGACACTCTCCTGGGTGTCCCTCAGACACATCAAACTCAAGATGTTCACAATGGAGTTGATCATCTTGTCCCCAACACCTGCTCTTCTTCCTGAATCTCCTGCTCAGTTCCCAGCACTCGGGACACTCAAGTCAAACCTAAGACCTGGAGTCATCCTTGACTCCTCACAGCTGAATCGATCACCATATCCTGACAACTGCACCTCTTAAATATTTCTCCATTGTGTCCCCCTTTCTCTGTGCTGACCGTGATGGCCCTGGTTCAGCACTCCAACTTCTCTCACTCATACTTTTTTGCTTCCAGTCTTGTATTTCTTAAGAAGTATCTTCCAGGGCTGGCTGAGTGGCTCAGTTGGTTAAGAGCTTGTTCAAGAGTGCGAGTTCTGAGCAACAGCAGTTCAATTCCCGGCCCGAGCTGAGCTGCCGCTGAGCTGCCAACAGGTAGCAGGATGGCTCAGCTAAAATATATATATATATATATATATATATATATATATATATATATATATATATATATATATATATATATATATACATCCTCCACACAAACTCTAAAATGAACTCTCTCAAGTTTATATCTGCTTTTATTATTCCCCTGTTTTACTTCCTTCTGTGGCTCCCCTTCCCACTCACAGCCAGCCTATTTCATGTGACATCCACGTGTATTCAGCTCTTTTCCAAGAATATGAGTTACTTGAGGATAGGGACTCTCTAAGGTAAGCAGGAAAGGTGGGGCTGGGAGTGTCAGAGTCAAGAGTAGCAGATTGCAATACTAAATATCATTTTTTTTTTTGGTCTTTCTAGCCATAGCTAAAATCTTACCTAAACCTACAGCCTACAGCAAGAGAATTTCACATTTAAAAACAATTCACATGCCATGAGGGAATTTACTATGGTCATGGAATCCAAGAAGAATCTCCAGGAAGGAATAGAGAGAAAAAGTAGATTTGAATTTCCATACCAAGGAGCAGTGGTTTATTGAAGAAGAATTACTTTCAGCATTATTTATGATACATGGGAAACTTGATAGGCCATGGTACTTTTGAAGTCAGACAAGTTGAGGTGTACTTGTTTTCTCTATCACCTATTATCTGAGTAGCCTTGAGCAAATCAATATTGATCTTCTCCAAGCCTACAGTTCCTCATTTGCAAAATGGAGATAACACCTACATCACATGTTGCAAAATGAAATGATGTAATTACTACTAAGAGCCTTAAGCTGGGCATGGCACTTGATAAGTGCTCAAGAAATGTTTGCTATCTTCCCCTTCTTTCTAATCAAATTTGAGTTCTTGGCTGTCACTCAAAGATTTCAGCAAATGCTCTTTACCCTTCTGTTAATTTTTGAAAAGCCTCAAACCAATCCAAACCAGACAAAACAAACAGCAACTGAACAAAAAAGGTATTCAACAGAGAGACCCCTCACTTTTTTAGCCCCAGCCCACAAAAGTAATGGTTCTCCCTGACTATTTTATCCGTATGTCAGATATTTTATTACATATATATTTCTTTTTTATATCTTTCTGCCATTTCCCCTTCACCAGTATCACCAATTTTGTTCTCTCTGGTGATTCCTCTTAAATCCTTAAGTGGTACCATGATGCTGTTACTTGAGTCATCCTTCATTGGGTTCCTGTGACATAAAAAAGGCTAAATTAAATGTCAGAAGTGACTCTCTACTTTCTTTGATAAATTGTAGAAATAAACACTGCTTTATTTTTCCTTTTCTTCCTAGGGTCAAAAGAATGGATAATAAATTTGAAGCAATGTTCCTTTTAAACTTGTTGTATTTGTGGCCATTATTTTGAAATATTTGCCAAATAATTTTGATCTTTAAATGTTTCCCTCTGTGTTCTTATAAAATAAAAATTGAAATAATTGTACTTTTAGCCATTTTTGATTGTTAATCTTGTTTTTCTCTGATTTACATGTTATGATACAAAAATTGAGATTCTATCATTGTTGCCATAGAAATCTTAAAATTTGAAATACAGATTTTCAGTGAATGAATGTTTTCTTTAAATTCCTCTTGTTCCCTGGGTGATGTTTCATAAGTACTGTAATTTCATAGGTACTGTAATTCCATAGTACCTAAATTAAGAAAACATTTTTCTCAGCATTTTTTCATTGCCTTTAGCAAAGTGACTCTAGATATTCAAACACAATTAAAACATTGAATAGTGGCCATAATGAAAAGGGTCCCCTGAAGGGAGACTAGGACCCTCTCTCCGGGCCTCTCTGTACCTTATCTTTGGCACTCACGACAAACAGTTTAATAGTTGAAAGGGACCTTAGAGGTCCCTTAGGCCAACTTCTCATCAAATGTGCCAAGATCTATATGCCCATGACAGCTCAACCATTCCCAAGTAGCAACTCCATCCAGCTGTTGAGTGGCTGTAAATGTAAAAGGTCTTTCTTAATTTGGCCAGATATCTGCTTCTTATCTTCTCTGTCTTGGTTCCACCTGTAGCTCTTAATAGCTCAGTGGAATGATTTTCAAATGTGATCCCCAGACCAGCAGCATCAACATCACCTGGGAACTTGTAATAGCTGGAAACTCTGGAGCTGGGTCTCAATAATCTGTTTTTGGAAGCCCTCCTCCAGGTGATTCTGATGCATGCTAAAATTTGAGAAGCACTGGTGTAGTGTAGCAGAAAGTGGTTGGGACTTTGGATTGAGGAGACCCTGGATTAAGATCCTGGCCTTCTGTCATTTTAGGCAATAGCCTGTTTCTCCCTGGTCCAATGGAGCTGATGGAGTTAACTTATTCCCAGACTTGTTGAGAGAATTCAGTGATAATACACAGGTAAAGTATATACCAGACAATCTAACACAACTTAAGCACTCAAAAATAGTGTCTAATATTATGGATTCATTCAACACACTTACTAGATGCCTCTGAATGTCAGTCTGTATAGAATCCATTCATGAGAATGGACAAGTACAGAATAAAAATTTTAGACATACCATGAAAAATATGATATTCAGAGAGGCTAAGTTCAAGGACACACACCACAACTCTCGGTGTTTGGATGCCTTATAGGTGCCTCCCAGTCCTGAACTCTTCTCATTTATCTGTCATTTAATGCAGCAATAAGATATCTAGTCCTGGGCCTCATGATTACACAAGTAGAAACTTCAAATTTATTAGCATACTGTCTGAATTAATTTTAATATTATTTGAGCATTGCCACCTGGTATTGGACACCCTGGCTATCTATCATTTACTTACATTTTACCTTGTTATTTATCTTTAACTCTGAAAGGATATAAGGTGACTGTTCAACATTTTATGAAGAGTTGGAGTTCCAGCTGCTATGGCACCAACTGTAGGGCCAGTGAAGTCCAGTAGTTGCTTCCCAGCAAAATGTGCAAAATTCTAAACACCTCAGATGGGTACTAAGTGAAGTAGTCCAATACCGAATGCTTTAGGTTAACTGGAATCCCGTGTGTAAGATGTTCAAAATTATATTCAGATATCAAGAAGCATGATTATTTCTTGCCCTTGCATTCACAAAGGAATGAGCTGACATTTTGCTATGCCCTTGCCTGGGAGAACTAAATGGTTAACGCTCACCATCACGTGCCCAAGTCTGCTTTACAGACCGGAAGGAATAAGGTACCCTTACTTTAAACAGCCTGTTTCCAGTTTTGTGTAGCTGTTGATATTACTGAACTAGTGACAGAGGCCAAGGCAGGAAAATAGGCTGGATTACTTATAATTCTTTGAATGTGGACACATCAGCTTGTGGAAAGGAAACTATTTAAAATGGGGCTTAGGGAAAGGAAAAAAAAAATCCCCTTTCCCCATATGAGATTCTTCCATGGTGTTGTCATGCAATTTTGAAAACCTCCATAGAGCACTCTCATTGGATATATGCAAATTTCCTGAGACCCAGTGGTTTCCTGCCAGGGAAAAACTTATAAAAACAGAGCAAGAATGCAATCTGAGCCCTTGCTCTCTGAAATCCCTAAAAGAACAGAGTCGTTCTTGACAGGGCAATTTCAGCCCTTGACATTCCAGGAAATAGCTTAATAATGTCATTTAGGCTGGGGTTATAACCAATCCTAAAACAGAGAGTCACAAATGTAATATGTAAGATTTAAAATACCAGTTTGGAGACTATTACTTATTTTCACAGAGAATCTAACAACAAAAACTAAGCAAGGCATCCTAATTAAGCTGAACGTTGTCTCCACTAATTAAACCCCATATAGGAAAAGGCAGGGTTTCTGCCAAGAAATTACAGACACATCCTAAAAACTATTTCCTTTCCCTTTACTTTTCTAGGTACTGGGTCTATGCCATATCCAGGATGTGACACCCAAACAAAACTGTATTTTGATCATTAATATATACGCAGAAGTTAACCCCACACTGAGGCCTCGAAGGCCTTTATGAGACATGCTGGCCTTTACATTTCAATGTGTTTCATTTTCTCCGGGTGCTGTACAGCTGAAAAAGGTTACAAGACTCAGGTTAAAAGTCAGGAAATGGATCAGGGCCCCACACTATGACATCATTTTCTTGCAATGCAATGAAGCAATGACATTTCCTGTAGGAAAAATGATTAGAGCAGACAGGCAGCCTCAGTTAGCTGCTGAGAAAGGTGGCAGGCCTGTCTCACTCCAGCTCCTGCCTCCACCCTCCTGCTCCTTGGCTGAGACTTCTCAGAGGTCACAGAGAGGCACCCAGGCCACTTTTATTTTATGACTGTCCTGATATATTTAAAATGAAGGTATGATAAAACTTAGTTCCAAAAAATGTGGAATTTTTAAATTTTAAGGCAATTAACCCTTTAAGGTAAAATTATGTAATTTTGCTGCTTACAAAATAGTTTTCAGAGTTATTTTTATTTTTAATTTTTTTAACTTAAGTACAGCTGGTATACAACATAATATTAGTTATGTTCGTTTCTGGTGTACAATATAGTGTGATACAAAATTTTTATACCTTACCATGTGATCACCCCACTAATTCTAGTAATCATCCGTCTCTGTGCAAACTTATCACAATATTATTGACTATATTCGCCAGATGTATATTTATAAGTGACGTTTGGCAGAGCCAACAGGGGTGATTGTACAGGCCAGTGAAAGAGCGGAGATTCAAGTCTGGCTCACCTTCCAACTGCCAAACCATACTTGGGGGTTCAGGGCCATAGCTGCCTTTTTCAGATTCATGTGAATGTCTCACGACAAAAGCTGGGTGGTCTTGTAAGGTCATGTGGTTTAAGTAAAATGATGAGCCAGTCTTCGGTTTTCAATCTTAGGTGTCTCGATAACTATAGGTATACCATCTTTTGAAGTTATCTCCAGAAGTGTAATTTGAGGCCCTGCCTGATTGTGAGTTGTAGGCCAAATGAGCTTCCTGGCATGGTCACCCCAGCACCAGAGAGCCTTTTTAGGATTTACAAACACGTGCTGCCAATGAGCCAACATGTGGCTTGGTGTAAGAGCTCTGGGCTGGGTTTCAAACTGGTCAGGTGATTTTGTGCATAAATTGCATAACTTCTAATGACATTACTGGTCCCCCACATGGTAGGATCCTGCTCTGGATTCTGCATGCAGACAGACCTGCTCCAGACCGATCGAGAGGCCTAAATCAAGGCAAGAAGTACTTAGGGGCTTGGGCCGACACACTGCAACTCCACATCAAATAGCCCTTGCTTCTCCATCTGTGGCCTTGTGACTCGGTTCGGATAACTGGGTTTCTGTCTCATAAGTGGGTTCCAGTGGCTGGGTGCCAGGTGAGTGCTGTCTGGGATGACGTTTTCATTCTCTTGAGTTACTGTTACCGTGTCCCATCTAGAGACCGAACGTCTGCCTCATAAACAACGGGATGGGGGGGGGGGTCCAGCCTTAAAATCTTCTGTCAGTTTTCTTCTTGTCTCCCTGCTTGTATTCTCCTGAGAGTGAGCAGAATCTGCCAAGCAATGACTGTGACTACAGATGGGACAGAAGAAAACAGCTTCCGGGTGCTTCTTTTGTTCATTTCAAAACAAAATGAATACTAAGTCACTCTTCTGTCAGTGGAGGGGAGAGAGTAAAGGTGAGAAGTTTCTGCTACAAAAATAATCCAACAGCAATGACTTCAGAGAGGTAAAATCCTAGTATCCATGATGGATTTATATAATAGAAGCAATGTTTCCAGATATGGTGCTAGGTTTACCAAACAACAAACCTTGCTCTCTTTGGCAGCTTGAGAGGGTGGGTGCCAAGGATGCTCCCAGCCACTGTTTACACAGCGCTCACAAATCAGGAGTGTTTCTACAAATCATTACACAGTAACTGGATGGACCTTGCAGTGACAAATATGCTCTCCCTGGAAACATTAGCTGATATCTGGAGGGCTTAATATTTCCCTGGGATGAGTCAAAACACAAGCATCATTCTCACACCTTTCCTTCATTATCCTGTAGGTGTTCTCTTAACTATGTGGGTCATTCATCAATGTGTCACTGTTTCCCAAGTTGGTCAAAAGTATCAGTGATCACAACTCTAGGAAGCATAACAAGCCTAGAAAGCAAGATCAAACTTTAAATTGTGAGCAAGATTGCTGTCCAAAATTACTGAGATTTTATTACTCTGTCAAATTTGCATCCTTACACTCTCTAATCACTCCCTTTTAAGGACTCATTATTTCCTATAGTTAAACCTATTTTAAACAGGAATTTATTTTACAGTTGGTATATTTGTATAGTCACAGGATCTGGAGCCTGTGTTTTTCGCCATTTGAGTCACCCCTCCGCTTGCCCATACATGTTGAAAGCGTCATTTAACTTAAATACACAGATCAGACTTGTTTAAGACTCTACCCTTTCACCTTGCTGGAGGC